TCCGCAGGAAGTAAGAGTGAAGGCAGATGGTGCTGACGGTCCAGATTCTGGTCCTCCCAGGTGCTTGTTTGCACCATTTCCGGTTCTCTAGGGTAGTGACCTCACGGCTTTACAGTTTTCCTAAGCAGTTTGCTTTGCGGGCTGCGGCCAGGTCCTCTTCCTGGCACTCTCTCTGCCCACTTCCTTTCTTGGCACCCTGCCGGCCCAGTGCAGCCTTTGTGCTCTGTCCAGTAACCCACGGTCACCTTTCTGGCTTGGCCTATGTAATTGTGTAATTTGAGAAGAAGCTGGAAGAATCCCGTTCTAGATAAAGGGGGTGACTGAAGCCTCCCCTCAGGGGCCCCGTAGGGCAATGCTGAGCTATATCCTGAGAGCATCCCTGGCCGGCCTGGCAACATGCTCCGCAGAGCCCCTCCCACCCCAAATACATCGAAAATAAAAGCCAAACCCACTCGGAGTAAAACTGCTCCGCAGGCTCTTTGAGCCCCACAAACTTTACGGAAGCACATAGCTTTCTTTATCTTCCTCCCAGGGAGCAGCTGGTGGGTTCGAACAGCCAACCTTTTGGTTAGCAGCCCAGCGCTATATGATCGTACCACCAAGGCTTTGAAAAGTCGTCTGAACCAGCTCCCCTCAGGAGTCTCTGTTTCCCGAAGATAGATATTTTTGTAGGGAACAAGAGTGTACCGCGTCGCCTCCTGGGTCTCCTCCAGCCCTAGGTTCATTGCAGAAATCCAAATTTTCCTTGGTCAGGTTCAAATGGACCAAGGTACGCTTCTGTTTGCTCATCCAAATATGCTTTAGATTGATCATCAGGCTGGATTTAGTCACGGCCCAACTATAATTGTGTTCATAAGATTGCAAATGTGCTTCTAATCCTATTCATGCTACTTCTTTTTTTGAAAGGGTGAAAATACGGAGGAAGATGGCTTTTCCATGCCACCCAATGAGAATGACCCGGCGCAAAGACGTCTCAGCCGTCCGCGCGCGGATGGGCCTTTGGATCCGAAAACAGGGACAGGGTAAAATGAAGCCATTTGACTGACGCTAATGGATTCGGGCAGCGTGGGGAAATTGAGTGACTGATTAAGATATAGTTTACATGTTAACGCAAAACATTTTAAGCTGGAAGGAAAGCAAGATTGCTAAAGCAGATTAAATTAATATTTGACCATAGGGTTGGGCTTTTAATGAGAGAGATTGCTAAGAGAAATTTCTGTCTACCTTTTTAATTTACGCATACATATAAATATTTTATATTTACACACACACACACACACACACATATACAAGAAGGAGCCCTAATGGTGTCCTCAGTTACAAATTGGGTCACTAACTGCAAAGTCAGTAGTTCAAAACCACCAGCCACTCCAAAAGAGCTTGACAAAGCTTTCTTCTCCCATAACGATTTGCAGTTTCAAAGCAGCTATCTAAGTGAGGTATACATGGAAGAAGCACATCAGCCTGTGTGATCCAAAGATTGTAAATAATCAAATCCAAATTTGAAGGAGGGAATGGCATCAGAACTTAAATTGTGAGCACCTGGTTTGCTAAAAGCTGTGGGTGACAGTGGAAGCCCGATATCCATTTACAGGGTCCACACGTGGATTCAGCCTCCTGAGAATTCCCTCTGCTCATAGTTGAGGGTGTGACTAGCCCTGTTATCAGAGAGAGAGCATTATAAAGTTGATTATAGCAGATGGAGTTTCGTTAAAATGTAATATCCTATTGTTCAATCTCCCTTTGACCCATTTTAAAGTTGTTTCCATTAAAAAACAGAAGTGAAGAGGAAACATACATGGATTAAGCCTCTGGGGAATCCCCTCTGACCATGGACCAGGGATGGGAACAGCCTTGCGATCATGCAGAATGCACTGGAAAGTGGATTCTTGCAGATGCAGTTAGGTTAAAATTTGACACCTTATCATTTAATCTCCCCTTTTATCCATTTACAAAATGCTAGTTTTTAACATTTTCTGCTTTCTTTCCAATTGAGGCTTTTAATGTTATGTTTTGTTATTATTATTAGTTTTTTATGCTGTTCTGTATATAAAATGCAGGATAGGTAAATCTGTAGAGATGGTAACTGGATTAATGGTTCCTTGGGGTCTTGGCAGGGGAGGTTGGAGGAAATGGGAAGCATATAATGGTGAGTACAAGAATGAAGAAAATGTTCTAAAACTGATTGTGGTGACGATTGTACAAATTTTCTGGATGTGATTGAACTACTAAATTGGATGACATGTGAAGTATAGGCCAAGAAAACTGTTTTTAAAAAAAGATTTACAGCTTCAGAAATCCACAGACACAGTTCTGCTCTATCCTACAGTGTCACTGTGCGTGAGAGCCAGGTCAGTGGCACCTATCGACAATAACAACACTTTTAAAATGCACTACAGGGGGGAAAGAAGATTATATATTTATATACATTTATTTAAATTGTAAATAATTATATATAATATTATACATTTACACAATATACTTATATAGTATATAATTGTATATATTATATTTGTAATATTATAAAATGATAAATAAAAATATATAATATTCTATAGGGCATTTATTTTTTTAAATTATTTTTAAAACTTTTATTGGGGGCTCTTACATCTTGTATCACAATCCATACATTCCTCCAGTGTGTCAAGCACATTTACACATATGCCACCATCAGCATTTTCAAAGCATTCTCTTCCCACTTGAGCCCGATATCAGATCTCCATTTCCCCTATAGTACATTTCAAAGTGTTGTTGTTGACTTGGCTCTTAACGCATAGCGACACTATGCACAACAGAGCAGAGCACCACCCAGTCCTGCACCACCCTCACCATTGTTCTTGTATCTGAACTGATTGCTGCAACCCCTGTGTAGCCATCATGAAACTCCTACGCTAGATAAAATGACTTTCAATTTGATGTCTGCAAATTTTACAAACCCCTTGCCATGTGATGTGTTCATTCTATTTCACCTGCCTGCTACAGGTACAGTTATTTGATGACCCTACAACTGCTGGGCTTAGATGATGGGCCGGAGACCAATGATAGGAACCCTGTCTTGATGAGAGGAGCCTACCTATCTTTTCTGTATCTGCGCCACCTGAGAATGAGGGAGCTGCAGGTACGGGTGCGGCTCCACATCACTGTTGGCTTCCGCCATCCGTGGTTGTCCGGCAAGGGGACTCCCTCCCTACCACTGCAGTCACAGCTCATTTTACTCTTCCATCCTTCGTTTTACTACCAGTGCCTGCCCCGGCCCTGCGTGCCTGTCCCTGTCACGGGGTTCATGTCCGGCTCTTGTCCCTCCTTTGTTCCAGCACACCTGCTTAGGCATTCTGAACTACTTCAGATCAGTCGAGCGAACCCTGACCATCAACACTTCAGGCCTCACCTTGATTTCAGGGAACCTGGTCCCCACTGTGGAAGATCCCTCCTGGGTAAACTCTGCAAAAGGAGGCGTGGGCACCTTGCAAGGCTTGGCAGCTCGCCTCTATGTGCATGCTTCTCCTGCTGAGCACAAGGTAAGCCCATCTGCTGGTTTGGTGTGTTTTTGTCTGTCTGTCTGTTTTCCCCCACCCTTGATTATCCTGCCTCCTAAATCACCTCCTCCTTACCACACGGAGTCAGTTAACTCCTTGGAGTAGTTCCCAAAGTAGATGCTACTGCCCCCTGGGGGCACTGGAAAGACCTAGAGGGGCTGCTAAAGCAGATGCCAATGCTTTATCCAGGATTATGGGCTATAATACAATCGGTTTTTACTGCCAGGGGGTGGCTGAGTACTTTTTTCTGAAAAGGAGGCAGTTAGGCCAAACCGGTTCAACTACGGTTTTCCAGTTTGAGAGTTTGCATTTACACCCAGATATACTGAATTAGAATCTACGTTTTAATAAAATATATACATAAAAAGGAGCCCTGAGAGCATAGAAGGTTATGCAGACATAGGCGGTTCACTGTAAGGTCACTCTTCTAGCCCATCAGCAGCTCTGAAGGGGAAACATAAGGCTGTCGGCAATCTTAAAAAGTGACAGTTTCCCAATAAAACTTTTGGGGTAGAAAAATACCTGAGGTGGGGGGTCTGTTGGGGGGACAAAAAAGACTTGCGATCTCAGAAACCCTACCTAGGGCTGCTTTCGGCGGGAAAGGACTCTAAGGCAAAGGGTTTGGGGACTTTAAGAAGCCCCTTAAAATGCACCTTCTGCTGTAGCTATTGATATCTGGGAGCAAATTGTTTGAAGCCTCAGGACTGACTGATTGTTGCGTTTTCAGGGAAATCTTTTTTCAACTGCAGTGAATTGCAGAGAGAAACCCCGAGCGCCCCAAGTACACAGCAAAGTAGGAAGGACCAGATGGTTGTTTTACAGAGAGTTAGGCATGATGGCCTTTCTCTCATCCCAGCCTGAGACTGCAGGCCTCTCCACCCAACCAACCCACCTCCCTGCCATTCAGTTCATCCTGCCTCATAATGACCATAATGACCCTGCAGGACAGGGTAGAACTGCCCCTATGGGTTTCCAAGACTGTAACCTCTTTACAGAAATAGAAAGCCTCATCTCTGTCTCTTATTGCCACTGGTGGTTTTAAACAGCTGACCTTGCAGTTAGCAGCCCAATGTGGTTACCACTACACCACCAGGGCTTCTCATACACAGAAACTCTTATAAGAACCTCCTTGGTGTTACTAGAATTATCTTTTTGTCTCTTTCCTGTTTGCCAAGACCCAAATGAGAACATACATTAAAGAACAAATCTTTCATTCCACAGGAAAACCTGATTGGCCCTTACACTTCTGATATTTTGGGAATATATTTTTCTATAAAGACTAGAAAATTTGAACCCTGACTTTTAAAAAGCCTAATATGACAAAATTCATATTATATCTCTTTCTTTGAGAATAAAGTAAAACATGCCTACATATTTTAGAATACTGTATACACAGTAAATACTTTATCTCAATCTAGAGGAAGTTCATCTCTAGAGATAGGAGTTAATACAAAAGTTTGTCTTCTTAAAAGGTACTGGATTTATAGATATGAGAAATGAAATCGACTTAACCTCTCAAGTAAGTCACATTCTCAGCTGATATGACCCCGGACACGCTTGTCACATCTTTAAGGACATGATAGCTTTCTGTTCACTAATCACTTACACAAAATCTCGGTTAATAGTGTCTGATAGAAATGTGATGCATATTTCACAAGAAAACATGTGAAATACATTTTAATAGTATAACCTGTTTAAACCAATAATAAAAGTATCTAATCACTGATTAACATGTAAGCAATATGCAAGAATAATGTAATTATAACATGTAATCAATATGCAAGATGACCCACTTCACATTGTTTCTGGGCTAAGCCTTCAAAATCTGAGAATGATCACAGCAGCTTTCCCAGGCTGCCGCTTAGGTTCTGAAGGGCTCCTCGGAAGGAGGAGCTGCCCTGGCCCGTCTCACCCTTGCTATCTATGAAGACCTCGAGCCATGTACCTGGGACAAGCCACGTTTCTGGTACTTTATAGCTACATGCGGCTGGAGGCTACTGCATTGAACAATGCGATTCTACATAAAGGGAAGTGTTTTCATATCTTCTCACTAGACCAGTAGAGTCAAACCTCCACTCATTAACCAGGATGCCCTTCTCTAACAAGCATCACCCTGCCCTCCCCACTGCCCTCTACCCAGTGCCTCAGCACAGACAGACATCACTGTGCCCCCAAATTTTCTTCCACTCCTCTATGGGTCCCAGCTCCTGGCTAGTCACGCTCAGTTAGTTGCCTCTCAGTGGGAGGTGTTTCTGAGGTACACCGGGTATGGCATGTGCTGTGGGTACTATTTTTCCCCTTGTCTCGACTGGGGGGGCAGAGACATGGTTAGGCAGACTAGTTGTACTGGGGGACGGTAACAGTGCAGTGGGGAGTGCGTCTGGAAGTTTGGAGTTCCTATCAGCGGAGCTGTGGCTGGAGCAGGTGCATTGGGAGACTGCAAGTATAGGAAATGGAAGGGTGAGATGCCTATTAGAAGTCCAGGTGGGAAAGAAGAGAGGGCTTCCAAACATTCTTGGACAAGTGGAATGAAAAGATCCTCAAATTTTTCCATGCCCTTCTTGACATTCCCTCACATCTTTTACATAGTATGTATTTAATAAATGCTCCTGACATGGAAATATGGAATAAGATGTGCTATACTTGAGTGCACGGGCTAGGATAGTTGTGAGGTTACAAAAATGCAACGTGCATGAGACTGATCTGCAAAGTATATCATACTGCTCAAATGCAGGAAAACGAACTAAGAAATGTTATTATAGTTGACAGACTAGAAGGAAGGAGAGTAGATGAATTCTTTGATTTGCTTTGTGAAAGATTGTGGTCAATGCCACACATATTGGTGGAATTCTTAGCCATAACCATTATGACCTGATACGAATGCAAAGGTGACTGAGGAAAAGTCCGAGAAGTACCGGCTGCGTTGCCAAAGGGCCTAAACCCCATATTAACAAGTGATGTCAGAAGCCAAGAGTGAAAAGAATGGATTCAAGGCAGCCAATTCTGTTATCGTTACTATACTCAGCCAATACTTATCTTGGCATCAGTTAATTTGTAGACACAGGAATCATTGACCCCACCCCCCACCCACTTCCTGCCATGCGTCCAAGCAAAACATTGAAGGATTAACTCTCTGGACGACAAAACCTTCAGTATAAGGGTCTTTGACATGACCACAGGGGAAAAATAAAATAAAATAAAAATGGAAATAAGAAAATACTTAGTGACTGAGCCAACACCCTGTCTGAGGCAAGTTGGGCACATGGTTTTCAAAATGTTTCCTGTGGACAAAAGTGCTTATTTCAAGGAAAGGAAGTGCGGGAGGGAAAGAGCAAGGTTCAGTGGAGTGGAGAGATGATGACGTCATAGGAAGGACTTGTACAGCGGGGAGGGCGGGGCAGTGGGGAAGAAAGACCACCCATGGCTCTGCTCAGCATCTTGACCCTGTGCTATTGTTCTTCATTGACTCCAGCAGCATTTCTCTAAGGTCTTTTATGTTTGTTTTATTTTTTTCTGTAAAGAACAGAAGTTTATTTTCTCATTGTCCTGGATGCTTGAAGGTCAAATATGCATCTTGACCATGTTGATTCCATTCTTTTTTTTTTTTAAACATTTTATTAGGGGCTCATACAACTGTTATCACAATCCATACACACATCAATTGTGTAAAGCGCATTTGTACATCATTCTCAAAACATTTTCTCTCCACTTAAACCCCCCACATTAGGTCCTCATTTTCCCCCTCCCTCCCCGCTCCTCCTCCCTCATGAGCCCTTGACAGTTTATAAATTGGTATTTTGTCATATCTTGCCCTGTCCGACGTCTCCCTTCACCCACTTTTCGGTTGTCTGTCCCCCAGGGAGGAGGTCACATATAGTTCCTTGTAATCGGTTCCCTCTTTCTTACCCATTCTCCCTTTACCCTCCCTGTTTCGCCACTCACACCACTGGTCCTGTAGGGCTCATTGCCCTGGATTCCCTGTATTTTCAGTTCCTATCTGTACCAGTGTACATCCTCTGGTCTAGCCAGACTTGCAAGGTCGAATTAGAGTCATGGTAGTGGGAGCAGGGAGGAAACATTTAGGAACTAGAGGAAAGTTGTATTTCTCCTCGTTGTTACATCGCACCCTGACTGGCTCATCTCCTCCCAGTTCTCTAAGGTCTTTTAAATGTGTTCATGCCCTAGAACATTGGAAAAGGTCTTTGATCCTTGAGTAAATAAAGTCTTGCACATTAAGTTGAATCTTTTTCTTTAAAGAACTCAGACGGCAGGAGCTAAATGCCATAAGAAGACAACAAGCTAATTGATACATTTAAGTAAAGTGTTTGATTTTTTTTATGACAATTTTCTCAACATCTTTTTTTTGTGTTCCATTGGTGCCTAACAAATTATAACAAACCAAACCAAACTCACTGTCATTGAGTTGATTCCAACTCAGAGCCACCCTACAGGACAGGGTAGAACTGCCCCTGTGGGTTTCCAAGACTGTAAAGCTTTACGAGAGCAGACGGCCTCATCTTTCTCTCACCGAGCAACTGGTGATTTTGAACTTCTGATCTTGTGGTTAACAGCCCAGCACATAACACACTCCACCACCAGGACTCCTTATCATTTTATAAGAAACAGTCATTTCTCCTTTGAAACTCTAGTTGAAAGAAATTCGTGGTTATAGAAGCCAGGTTATGCCTGAAGAACAGCAAACAGTACAGCTAGACCAAAAATTACAATATAGTAGAGAAAGACTGAACTGTGATACGTTCCCTTCTTGGTTTATCTTTTATTGTGAGCTGGGGGAAATTTTACCGAGCAAATCAATGATTTCATTCAACAATGCATATTTTGTTTCACGTCACTGATTGCAATCCCCACGGTGTAACATTGCTTATGCTACTTCCTCCCTGTTTCTATTCATCCTTCTTGCCCAACCCTGCTGAACTTTGTCCATGAGTCAACTCTGCCCTTTGGATCCCTATGGCTGATTG